ATAGACAGGGGGTGGAGGATAAAGGGGGAAATGAGACATCTTGGACATGTAGGTGTAGTCTCCGATGTACACAAGGGACAGTAACTACCACATGGTTTAGGTCAGTTATGGAAAGGACAAATAGAAGAAAAGTTCATTGGGGGAGATAATGTGTCTGGGAATCAATTAGGATCAAAGATGGCATGCAGAATAGTATCTGACCTGTGGGCTGCCTTTAAAAAGTTAGTTGAGACATAAACAGGGTATATTCCCATGAAGTGGAAAAGGCAGTATAACCATATTTAGAGTTTTCTGGATGATAAGAAGAAATGGAGGTTAAGATGAAGAAAGTGCGCTGCTGAGAGTTCTAAGGTGAACAATACAACTGAGAACAGGCCAAGTAAAGAGGCTGTACTTGCCAGGTAAAGGACCTGTTTGGCCATTCTATCACAGACAGCCTCCTGCTTTGAATGCCTGTGTGTCTGCTGCTCTTAATTGACAGTGATCACCCCTGGTCAAATTACAGGCCTGGTAGTTCTGAGGCCTCTGGGAGAGGTGTTCACTGCTGAGGAACACAAGAGATCTTGGAAGGTAAAGCTCAATAAGAAATTTTAAAAACTCAAAAGGCAGAAAGTCAGAAGTAAAACCACAGTGGGGGATTGTTAGGGCTTAGTTGATGCCTCCAGGGTCACAGCCCTTTTTTTTGACCATATGACCTTGCACCCACCCCCACACTGCTGCTTGGAGGCTGCCTCCACTTTAGCTGGCAGCAGCAAATCGCCTGCCGTTGGCAAAAATCTAATGACCAGTAACATTTAAGTGCCTCCACTTTAAATTGGCTATCAACTGTCCCACCTTTGGCAAAATGCCCCAGTGCTGGGGTGTCCATTTTATCCAGAGCCAGTAAAATGCAGTTCAGTTTTGCTCTAGGCTCTCCCATGGCTTGTCAGATTCCTATTAGAAAACTATAAGTAACGACAGGCTGGTATGCCTTGATACCCATCCGGTATCATGTTGATTAAACCCTCCCCATTTCCTTTGGTTGGGCCCTCAGCATGCAACTTTGATACCTACCATGTTATTCCTGCCATTTGGTTTGTCTCCAGCACCATCTTATTTTTAAGTTTTTGTAATTATTTCTCTGCCTCAATTAATCAGATCATAGGTCATCCCCTCACTTGCTATTCAGCTGTCGATACTTTACTCACACCGTCTGATGCTTTTGATCACCTGCAAAGACTTGTTATTCAGCCTTGTTGACACTCCACTCACATCATTTGTACTATCTTTTGGTCTCTCTGCCTACAAATTCTATGCCTGTGTGCTTCACTTCACTTCACCTGACAAAGGAGCAACACTCCAAAAGTTGTGATTTCAAATAAACCTGTTTGACAATGAGCTGGTGTCACACAACTTCTGACCTTGGCCACCCCAGTCCAACACCAGCACCTCCACATCACAGGGGCAGTGCCAGAGGACTGGAGGACAGCTAATGTGGTTCCACTTTCTAAGAAGGGTGGTAGAGATGAACCAGGAAACTACAGACCAGTGAGTCTCAAGTCAGTGGTAGGGAAACTACTGGAGAAAATTCTTAAGGAACAAATTAATACCCATTTGGAAAGGCGTGGGTTAATCAGGGAAAGTCAGCACGGCTTTGTTGGAGGGAGATCATGCCTAACAAATTTGTTAGAATTTTTTGAAAATGTGATCAAGTGTGTGGATGAGGGAAATTCAGTTGATGTAGTTTTTATGGATTTTGGCAAAGCTTTTGACAAGGTCCCACATGGGGGATTGTTTGAAAAGGTTACAACACATAGAATGGAAGGAAACCTGGCAAGATGGATCAGAAACTGGTTTAGTAATAGGACACAAAGGGTGGTGGTAGAAGGCTGTTTTAGTGGCTGGAGGCCGATGTCCAGCAGTGTACCACAAGGATCAGGACTGGGACTCTTACTGTTTATTATGTACATAAATAATACAGATGAAAGTGAGGGGGAGGGGGAGGGCGAATGATAAGCAAATTTGCAGAAGCCACCTAGATTGGTAAAGTAGTAAATAGTGAAGATGGTGCTTGAGGCTACAGGAAGATATGGATGGGTTGATCAGATGAGCAGACCAGTGACAGATGGTATTTAACCCTGATAAGTCTGGAAGAAGAAACAAAATGAGGAAGTATTTATGGCAGGACCCTGGCTAGCTTCGAGGAACAGAGGGATTGATTGAGGTGTATAAGATTGAGGGATATGGACAGGGTGAATAGAAAGCAGCTGCTCCCTTTGGTTGAGGGATCAATCACAAGGAGTTTTGGTTTTAGGGTCGGGGCAGGAGATTTGGGAAAATGACCTTTTCACCCAGCGGGTGGTGGGAATCTGGAATGTACTATCTTCCCAGGCTGTGAACCTTAATCTTAAAAAATATTTGGATAAGTACGTCAAATATCATAATAATTCAAGGATATGGGACAAGTGCAGGAAAATAGGATTAGCACACTTTTGGTGAATAGATAGGTCAGTGCAGACTCAATGGGCCAAAGGGCCTTTTCTGCACTGTATTAATCTATGAATTAGCCACATATTTACAACTTAGGCATAACACAGTCACACAGAAGGGAAGCATAATCTCTATTACAGAAGCTTAACAGATGTCACTGAAGAAAGCAAGGCCAAAAGTTTCATAGAACTATACAGCACAGCAACAGGTCCTTCAGTCCATGATGTTGTGCCGAACATGACATCAAATTAAACTATTCCCTTCTACCTGCCCTTGGTCCATATCCTTCCAGTCCTTGCATATTCATGTGCTTATCTAAAGACTCTTAAATGGCCCTATCTTATCTGCTGCCACCAACACCGCTGGCCATATGTTCCATACTCCTACCACTGTAAGTAACTTGCCTCTCACATCCCCTTTGAACTTTCCCCTTCTCACCTTAAATGTATGCCCCCTAGTTTTAGGCATTTCAACTCTGGGAATAAAGATTCTGACCCTATCCATGCATCTCATAATTTTAGACTTCAATCAAGTCTCCCCTCAGCCTCCACCACTCCAGAGAAAACAACCAGAGTTTTTCTAGCCTCCCCTTATAGCCCATACCCTCTAATCCAGGCAGCATTCCAGTAAACCCTTTCTGCACCTTCTCCAAAGTCGCCACATCCTTCCTGTAATGTGGTAACCAGAATTGAATGCGATACTCTAAGTGCGGCCTAACCAAAGTCTTATAAAGCTGCAACGTGACATCCCGACTCTTGTGCTCAATTCCCCAAACAACAAAGGCAAGGATGCCATACCTTCTTTACCACCCTATCTACTTGCGTGTCCACTTTCAGGGAGCTATGGACTTGAACGCCAAGATCCTTCTGTACATCAATGCTGCTCAGGGTCGTGCCATTAACTGTACACTTTTCCTTAACATTTGATCTCCCCCAAAATGCAGCATCACCACCTACCCAAATTAAATTCCATCTGCCATTTCTCTGCCACTGATCTATATCCCGCTGTATCCTTTGACAATCTTCTACGCTATCCACAACTTCACCAATCTTTGTATTGTCTGCAAACTTACAAACCCACCCACGTACATTTTCATCCAAGTCATTTACATACAGCACAAACAGCAGAAGTCCCAGTATGGATTCCCGTGGAATACCACTACTCACGGACCCCAAGTTTGAAAAACAACCTTCCGCTACTGCCTTCTATGGGAAAGCCAATTCTGTATCCACCAGCCAGTCACCATGAATCCCGTGCATCTTAATCTTATGGATCCGCCTACCATAAGGGACCCTGTCAAAAGCCTTACTAAAATCAATGTAGACAACATCCACTGCTATACCCTTATTGATTACCTTTGTTACCTCAAAAAATTCAAATTGAGTTAGTAAGACATGACCTGCCCCACACAAAGCTATGCTGACTGTCCCTGATTAGGCCATACTATTCCAAATGCACACAAATCCTGACCCTAAAGAATTCTCTCCAGTAGCTTCCCAATCACTGATGTGAGACTCACCAGTCTATGGTTTACTGGATTAATCCTATTTCCCTTCTTAAACAGGGGAACAACATTCACTACTCGACAGTGGCTGATGAGGATACAAAGATCTTGGTCAAGGCCCCAGCAATCTCCTCTTGCCTCTCTCTCAACAACCCAGGGTAGATACCATTGGGTCCTGGGGACTTATCCACCTTGATGCTCTTCAACAGAACCAACACCATTTCTTTCGCGATCTCAAAATGCCCTAGCATATTAGCATCCTCCATATCCTTCTCCTGTGTGAAGACTGACGCAAAGTACTCATTTAGCACCTCACCCACATCTTCTGCCTCCAAGCAGAAGTTCCCTCCTTTATCTGCGATAGGTGAAAATGTAAGCTGTGGGGAGGATACTGACGGCAGAGAGATATATGCAGGATATGTGAATGGGTAACAAGGTGTCTGACAGGACAATATTTGCAAATGTGAGGGTATTCACTTTAGTTTTAATAGAAAAGTTTTTTTTTTTAAAAAAAAAAGGTGAATATATTATAAAATGAGCTCAGCGAGATTGGGCATGCACAAGGAACACAGGAAGTTAGCAATATGGGTAACATATTCGTTAGCATATTAGGAAGACATGTTGGGCTTTACTTGAAAGGGATTACAGTACAGAAATGAAGATATCCTGTTACAATGCTGTACAGTTTTGGTGAAACCACATCTGGATATTGTATGGAATTTTGCTTTCCATATTTAAGGAAGGATATATTGAAGGCAGCACAGCAAAGGTTTGCTAATTTAAGTCTCCAGGTTGACAGGCTACATAAATTGGGTCTATATTCCCTATAAATTAGAAGAATGAGAGAATGATCTCATTGGTGTAGACAATTCTGAAGGGGCATAACAAGATATGTACCAATACTGTTTCTGCTGGTTGAAACACCTGAAACTCACAGGCACAGTCTCAGAACCAAGATCAGTTAAGATTGCGGTAAGGAGAAATTTCCTCACTCAAAAGGGGTGCGAATGTTTGGAATTTTCTACCCTAGAATGTGGATCCTTTAATATCTTAAAGCTGAATGGACAGATCTTTCATCTAAGGAAAGAAGTGACGTAGGGAACTGGCAAAAATGTGAGGATGAAACCCAAAATCAGCCAAGATTGTATTGAATGGCAGAGCAGGCTCAACAGGTTGAATAGTCTACTCCTGCTCATACTTCCTCTACCTGTGGAACAGACTGTAACCTTCCTTGGAACTTGGGAAAGACATTAGTTAGTGCACATGACTCAGACAATCAAACAATAACATCCTGAACAAAAACTCTGGTATACCAGCCCTGGGGGCCTTGGGTAGAGGGAAATAGTGGAATATGTTGTGCTGTTATTTTATCCAAAGTGATCCGAGTGAGAATTTGAAGAAACAATGTGACAATATATGTTAACGGAAGCTGGAACTCAGACCTTAATCCGCCTGTAAATCTGCAGCAGTTATGATGGAGTGAGAGACAGCTGGGGAGTTCATCCCTCTTCAGGCAGTGAGGCCAGATTCAATGCAGCCTCTATTAGAGATAATAGACATTTCAGTCCACTCCATTGCACTTATATACTTTATTGCAACCTAGAATATCTTGTCATAAATTTATACTGTACAATTCACCAAGTCACTGGCCTGCTATATCAGAAACTATCCATCGGAGGCAGGGATGCACTATGCATGCAGCAAGATGACAAGCTGGTGCCTATAACAACTGCTAGATCAGGCTCTAACTGCCTCATTTTATCTGTCCCTTGCTGTGGTGAACAAGTGCTGTCAATCAGCTAAACCAGCTCATCCTTGCTGGTATATAGATCACTAGTAATATGTGTATTGGTAAGGGTTTTGAAGGGCCATGAATACAGAGGAAGTGAACATGCTCGCATATGAATCACAACAGGTTATAACTATTGAATCAGAGATAATAGGAACTGCAGATGCTGGAGAATCCGAGACAACAAGGTGCAGGGCTGGATGAACACAGCAGGCCAAGCAGCATCATAGGAGCAGAAAGGCTGACGTTTCAGGCCTAGACCCTTCATCAGGGTTGTAACTATTTGTGGGGTCAAACTCGATGGTGTGTTTTACAGAGACCTAGAGCCTAATTAACAATCTTCAAGCTACAAGTGCCTTTGGCACTTCTATGGGCAGCTCCATGAAGCCAAGTCACATAGGTTCAACTATAATAATTGTGGCTCTAGGGGTACACTCCTCATTCTGGCTCCACACAAGGCTGCTTTCTTTCAAATATTGCACATAAAGGACCTTCTTTACTTTATACATTGTCAGTTGCTGAATAGTCAATATACTCATAACTGTCTGACATGTGTCATGGAATCTGAATGAAGTATTTAGTCTCTTAAATACCCAAGTAAGTTACTATCACCTGTTGTAGCCAGTTGCTAGGGAGGCCTGTAAAGTGGTCCAATTCAATGCTGGGGCAAAAACTTTTCAGGTTTCCTAGGTCATTGATTAGAAGACCTCAAAACTGGGCCTTATTGAGCATGACGTTCTTATGTAAACTTGGCACAAGGAGATGCACTTGCTGCCACAGTTTCTAGCAATAAAACCTCCAGAGTTCTGGGATTTAGCACTGTTCTGTTGAGCTGAGCATCAGCATTGTAGCAGTATCATAATTTAAGCCATTAAAAGAGTCAGTCAGTCATTCACAGGAAGCATTTGAATGACTAACAAATTCAAAATCCATTTACAGGGTGACTGTGGAGACTCATTTACAGACCAGCACTGAGTAAAAAGCATAGTTCAGTGACTCAAGTCCCAACGTTGAATCATTAAGTTTGGATCACACAGTACAGAAAGAGACCATTCAGCCCATGATACCTATGAAGGAACAACCTAATTTAACTCACTCCCTGTTCTTTATCACTAGCTCTACAATTGATTTCCCCTCCAAGTTTTTGTTCCATTGTACTTGAATGTTGCTGTTGAACCAGCTTCCAATGGTCTTTCAGGATAGTGTATTCTAGATCAATGCAATTGAAAACAAATCTAATCACATTCCTGCATCTACACACCACCCCAACAGCAATAGTTGGAAGGCAAAGCATAAAGCTTCATCATTTATACACAATGTTGCGCTGATATTGAATATCCCACAACAGTCCTTGTGGATCCAGGGCAAGCAGAGGATCTGCTGCACATAATGCTACAAGATGAGAATTAACACAAAGCCACTGCCCTGCTATCTAGTGTGGATGGGCAGGACTTCACACCACTAACTTCTTATCCATAATCCGCTAAAGTCCTGTTAGCTCCCTCATGCAGATGTAAGAGACTCCACAGCATCAAAAAAAATTAGCAGGGAGTTCTGGGTGAACTGGCCAATATTTAAAGCTCACAACCTCATTAAAAACAGATTATCTGGGCAGTCTTTTTGTGCACAAATTGGCTGCTCCATTACCTACACTAACAGAATTTCAAACCTCTCATTGGTTGTGTAAAGTCAAATGTAAATGCAAAGGTTAAGTCAGTTTTTGCTATGGCAATTCAATGGGTATTGAAAGCACCAAGTATCAACAGGAAGATGGTGACATTTTGCTAGTGTTACTGGATGAGTAATCCAAAAACTAGCATGCTGTAGGGATATCCAAATTCCAATATGGCAACTGACAAATGCAAATTCAATTAATACATCTAGAATTGATAACTAGTCTCCATTATGGTAACCAAGAAACGATCAACTGACATAAGGACCAATCTGTTTTACTACTGCGCTTTAGGGTAGGCAATCTGCCAAGCTTACTTGGTCTGACCTGTATGCGACTTCAGACTCAGTAACATGGTGGACTTTTAATGGTCCTCCGAAGTGGTCCAGTAGTCACTTCACTCAGGTCAATTAAGGTAGGGTTACAAATGCTGGTCTTGCCAGTAATACTCACATCCCATGAAAGAAATATTTAAATTTGGGCTTTCCCACAGGTATGAACAGCTAATAAAAGTGTCCTGGAGACAACAATAACTGGACCAGCTCTTACTGAGCTTCTAAGTATCCTAAGCAGATTTGTTTCCTAATTAACAAATAGCCCATTAGAGTACAGACAAACAGAATGAAGGTAGGGAGTCAGTGACGTCTGTCCATGCAGGTGCGATGAAACTCAAGAGACCGTAAATAAAATATTGATCCATTCTGAAGAAAAAAAAAAATAATGTTCTGCAGTTCCTTAAGTAGATTTGCTGCCTGCTGCCATTCACCTTACTTGGCTTCCATTGCCCAAGGGAACATTGCTTGCTGGTACAGATGCAGGGGGTATGGGGATGCAAAGCATGCTGTCCCATGTCAGTTGGCTGTAGCACCTCCAAAGTTGAGATGCTGAGAGTCAGTGTCGCTTTCTTCAGCGGAAAAATACGTACATCTTCAATTCACCAGTTATTGAGAGGAGTCAGGAGCAGTATGGAAGGGAGATGCATGCTGTGGCTGCTGGCTCCAATCACGAAGGGGCTGGCGGACTGTGTTCCCAAGCTGGTCACTCTGCTGCCCTTGGTTTTCAGCATGTGGTGTGTATGGAGGGGGCTGGTCCTGTTTGGAAGGACAGAGGATAGGAAATCAGCAACAAACACTTAAAAGAAACAGTTTCAAAAAGGAAGAAGCAGATAGTAGAGGAGACATCAGTTCAACTATAATTCACCCACCATGCACACCCCTCCCCTTCAGGTTTGGTGTAAACTGTACTGGGATTGTAACAGGGTGGAGCAGCAAGGCCAGTCACTTACCAAGTCTCACCTAACCCTAACCTGCTCTTTTCATCAGGTAAGGGTGATAGCATAGCGATTGGGTCAGAGTTTGGAGATGGGTAGCAGTGAAGATTCACCCCTCGGGCAGACTTGATGGGAGAATTAAAGTAGGTCAGAAGAACTCCAGGCTGATGATTCTGAAAAATGCACCTTTAGGTTTCCTTGTTGGCCAGGTGCTTACATCCAGTTATTACAAGGAAGCATTGGGCCTCCATGACAAAAGGAACACTGCAATAGCCCTTCAAGTTCAGGTCAGAGACCTTTGAAATCACTTAGCCTTTGACCAGCTGAAAACAGTATCACCAGTAGTGGCCTTCTCTCACCAAATCCTTGTCCCACTGGCTACACAATGGAATCAGATAAGTCTTCAGGCTTCCTTTCACCAGCTATCATATTGTTATTCCAAACCAACAATGCAGGTTTGATTTCTATTCTAGTTGGGGTATACTTGTAGCCTGCCTCCTTGCTCTGATCTGGAGTTGATGGCAACGGCCAAACACACTAACTACCAAAGATGGATGACTCACAGAATTCCATTAGCATGGAAAATTACCTGGGGTCCAGGGAAGACATTGCTTGATTGACAGCTCAGTCTCTGATCTCTGCTGTCAACTGCAAGTGTCCACTTACACAAGATTAAGAGGTAGAGATATCAAGTGCTTACAGTTTCTGCTATTGATGATTTAAAAGGAATATGAATGATTGAGTTATTACCCTCTGGTTAAAGGATTTTAACATAATAAAAAGTAGGCACTAGTTGGATTTTTTTGAAAGCTTTGAAAATATCCTATTGTCTACAGGGTGAATTGGTTCTATACAGAATGTAGTGGGTGAATGCATACTAACATGAATAGCATGGCATGGTAATGTATAGGGGGTGGTGGGGTCACAGGATTACTGTTTCCATTACAAATGGAACAAAGCCTTAAAAGCACCGAGGCAGGTATTTTATAAACTTCCCACTAGGCATCAAGCATTCCTTGCAGCGGCCTCTGATCTCTTTCCTAGGTTGGCTGGGCAGACTGCAGCTCAAACCAACATCCAAAGACTGTCTTTGACAGCATTTTCAGCCAAGGCAAGGAAGCGGCAAAGTTTTCCCTAATCACATTAGAACAGCCTTGAAGATGAAAAGCCAGGCTATAATTACCATTCCTTCATTTTTGCTGGATTGATATCCTGCAACTCCTCGTTTAACACTGTGGGTGTGCCTTCACATCATGGACTGTTGACACTGAAATGGAGGCTCAGGTCCACTTCTCAAGAACATTTACCCTTTATGCCAATCAGTAAGAGGGCATCAGATACAGGAGCACAAGCATGTGCAGGTTTCATTCCAAGCCACACAACATACTGACTATTTTGCTGTTCCTTCACTGTCATAGGTGGATATCCTAGAAAGCCCCTCCAAACAGCATGATGGGTGTACCCACAGACCAGAGGTCCAAGATGACAGCTCACCTCTGCTTCAAGGGCACTTAGGAATGAACCAATACTGGTCTTGCCAGGAACACTCATCTCAAACAGGAAGAAAGAAGTTCACCTATTGACAGCAACCGAAGAACAATCTCATTGCCTTAAACAAATTGGTCTCAGTGTTAACTCAGCTGCAACATTTCTTTCTATATCAGGAGTCTTGGAATCAAAACCCATGCTAGACACTGGAAGCCATAATTGAAGCAGAAGACACTAGGGCAATACTGATGGTCTGCCACTCTGTTGGAAGCGTCTTAGTTAGTATGGGATATTGAACTGTGACCCTGTCTGTCATCGCAGATATATATAAAAGATCCCACAACACTATTCCAAAGGAGTGGGGATTTCCTGTCTTGGTTAACCAAAATCACAAATAGATTATCCAGTTATTTATAATATTTATGGGATTTTGCTGTGCAGAAATGTACTGCCAGCTTTCCTGAGAGATTACACTTCAAAAGGATTTCTTGGGGTGTGAAGCATGAGGGACATGCCAGAGATCATGAAAGGCATTATACAAGTGCAAATCTGTTTTTCTTCTTTGGTGGCCATATATTACAACTGAAGCTAGGCTGTTCAGGGGCAACGTCTGGAGCACTTTTTAAACTGAGTAGTAGGAATCTGGAACAGTCTCACCCAGAAACCAGACGAGCAGGGGCGGGGGTGGTGCCAACTGATTTCACAGTGGAGATTAATAAATATCCCTATCTGACAAACAAACAAAAAAAAAGTGTTACCGAACCAAGATGGGTAAGTAAACAATCTACACTGCACTCATGATCAAACTGAATTGCTAATCAAATTGTTGAATGGTGTTCTCCTATCTTTTTGAAGTGCTTGATGCAATAATGTAAAAGGAGTTTTATTAGTTCACCCAAGGTGAACACTCAATGCATATCTGCCCACAAACGCATTCAGTATGCCTGTCACAGTTCCATCTCAGCTGGTTTCATGCCAAAATCCCCACCTTTTACAAACTCCAGACTCAGCTATTCCACTGTGTTCTTAGCCAATTCCCCAACTTCCACAAATCTCAGTTCAGCTCCAATCCTACTGACTGTATCCTTACTTACCAAATTCCATACATAGTAACCTACACTGGCTCCTTCCTGCAATGCTTCAATTTTAAAATTCTCATCATTCATTTTAAATCATATCATGGTCTCTCTTTTTCTACAACTTTCAGAAATAATATGCTGCTTCACTTCTGGTTGTCAAACACCTCCAATTTTAAATAATCCCTTCAGTATTCTCTCCCCAAGCTTTCCACTTCTTGTACAAAAGTTCTGAGAAAGGGTCACCGGACCCGAAACGTTAACTGTTTTCTCCTCCACAGATGCTGCCAGACCTGCTGAGCTTTTCCAGAAACTTTGTTTTTGTTCCTGATTTACAGCATCCGCAGTTCTTTTGGTTTCCACTTCTTGTGTTTCAGTTCAGTATTCATTTTGATTCTAATATGCCTGTAAATATGCATTCCAAAGCACTTTAAAGTTAAAGGTGTTGTATAAATACTGATGTTGTATCTGATCCTTTGCTTTAACTATCCTCGGATTGATTGATGGGGACAATGTAGAGGTTACTTTACTCTGTATTGAACCCCATGGTCTATGCGCGCTGGGCACACAAATTCTGATAATGACTGAACTCCATCATTCCACATGGAGAAAACTACAGGAAGTAAAAAGAAAAGATTAGCAACATCCCAAGTTATATATATAAAAAAAAAGACAGACATTTCTTCTTCCTTGTCCTTACCATGGGAACACTATGAGGGGCTGACTGACTGCTCAGAGTATTTTCAGACTCATTGGCAGGCCTTGCTTCACCTGCAAAGAAAAAGGAGGAGTTTACTATGCACGTACCAGTGGTACAAACCTCTCATGCAATGTGAGAAAATAGTGCAGCCCAACCAAATCTCTGCTCCATCTTCCTAAATGGTATCAGCAGTCATGAATTTCCAATAAATTGGTGCGCTCCGATGGGGGCGGGGGTGGCAGGTGGGATGCGGAGGTGGAGAAGGTTTGCCATTGCTTTCTTCAGCATGGCTGACTAGGAAATTCCCATCAGGCATGCTGGAAGGATTTACAGGGAATCTTCTCTCTACTGTCAGAATGAGATACTAGTGTTAGGTAGAACTTATGCTCACACCCTGATAGCATACATCACAGCCAAGACAGCTGTCAAGTCACAGAGTAGCTGCCTGGTATTCCTCCCCTCTGACCCCAGATTAATTGACTGTGCTGTTGCCTAGGTCAAGATCAGCTAGGTCATCATACATGGGATTTTCTGCTTTGTACAGGTGGTGTCACCCTGCTAAGTGGGTATCACACCCACTTCTGCAGGTCAGAAAAATCACAAGTTCAAATTCCAGTACAGAGTCCTGAATATATGATCAAGAATGCTCTCCATTGCAGTATTAAACAAGTGCTGCACTGTTGGAAGTGCAGTCTTTTGGGCGAGACTCAGCACAGGTAATGTCTGGCTGGGATGTAAATGATCCCATATCACTATTTCGAATAAGAATGAGGAGCTTTTTCTGAACATCCTAAACCAATATTTCTCTCAACCATCATTAAAACAAATTACTCAAACGCATCACCTGACTGTGGGGGTTTTCTCCGAAAATTGGTTGCAGCATTACCTACATTACAACACTGATCACACTCAGAAGGAGTGTTTCATTGACTCAAGTTAGAATCGTACAGTACAAGAGGTCCTTCAACCCATCAAATCCATACTGCCAAAAAGATATTACTTATCTAACATTCATAACTATGGGAGTAATGTAACTTCACATGCTTACCCAAGTACTTTTTAAGTTTGGGGCTTCCCACTTCCTCCACCAGTGCATTCCAGACCACCACCATCCTCTGGGTGAGGATGTTTTTCCCCCCCAAAACCCTTTTAACCTTTTGCCTGTTAAGGCACTATGAAATGCAATCTGTGTATTCTGTTCATTTGTTGAAGGATTTAATGTGTGATGTTACATAGATGCATGATATTACTTGCTTTACACTCAGCCTTGCTGAGCTTTTAGAAAGGACTCAGAGCAGACTAATTAGAGTCTGGGTCACCAGATATCTCCAACAGTAAAGTGATGACACTGTTTCACTGTTAGTAGAACAGCAAGGTTAGATGGACTAGTGTATTGCTTCCAATTTACAAACAGCAAGATCCCACAACATCAACAAGACAGCAACCAGAATTTGTTTTAGTGCTGTCAGTAAGGGGTAGATACTGGCCAGAACATGATGAATACCTCTGCTGCTCCTCTAACCATTCCATGATCTTCACATCTGGTTTAATGCATCATCCAAAACGGGGCGGCACAGTGGCTCAGTGGTTAGCACTGCTGCCTCACAGCACCAAGGACCCAGGCTCGATTCCACCCGCCGGCAACTGTGTGTAGAGTTTGCACATTCTCCCCATGTCTGCGTGGGTTTCCTCCCACAGTCCAAAGATGTGCAGGGTAGGTGGATTGGCCATGCTAAATTGTCCATAGTGTTCAAGGATGTGTAGGTTAGGTAGATTTTTGGGGAATGGGTCTGGGTGGCCTGTTTCCACAATTTAGGGATACTATGATGAAGACACTTCCAGTATCAGACAAGGTTGAAGTTGCACTTCAGCTCACAGAACAAGGAGAGGTTTTAAAAATTTGTTTGGCATCCTCCATCCAACCAAATGCCTCTGATATGCCCCAAGAATGCTGGACAACAATGCATGTTCAGTCAGTTCTCAGTGATACTTTCAAAGTTAAAGTCAGAAAATTCACGTTAAAGTATGATTGGTCTCAGAAGGGCTTACTTACAATCCTGCGTCCGTGACAGAAGTGCATCACCTCCTAGAAGAGTCATGGGCCCTGGGTAAGGAGGAGGTGCCATATAGTTCATTGTACCCTCTGTGGGAGGTGGTCCAGGGTAAAATCCAGCTATGAGAATAATAGCAGCAGGTAAATAATTTGGCAAAAGATATGCACAAACTTCAGTGCTGATCACAGTGGAGAAGAAATGAAAAGAATTGGCCTCCGTGTCCCAGGAGGCTAGAGACTATTATGCCTGACCACCAGTTCTTGTCAGACTGTGTATATACACAAAGACTGAATGAGGACACAATCAGGATTAGCAATGATATCCCCCCTTAATTTGACAATTAAGCACTTTGAAGAATGACTACTTCAGAGGAAAATCCAGCTCCTGTGAAACTTTGAGGAAGAAGAGTGCAAATGGGGGAAAGAATCACTGGTGACTCATATTCACTACCATGGATATTTTACCACAAAAACAACCATATGTACCGAGTGCTGGTAGGCTATTAAACTATGACTGGAGAGGTCAAAATCAGGCTTGTCTGAATTCACTAATAATTACGGTTAGGAATCTGTGCCAATTTGTACAGGCACGTAAGTTAAATTGTGGGGAGCAACTGTGCCTTTAACACAGCAAGCGCAGTTGAGACAGAAAAGAGTGTTTAGCGTCAGGCCCACTGGCTTGGTTGGTATTCGTTTGATTGGGTGGGGGGGGGGATGGCTGCTGTTAAACAGCTTAGAGATAAGGATTAATTGAATTTCCTTGTATCTTTTAATGATAAATAGCATGGCAGAGAGTTGCCACAGGGGACTGTTTGGCTTATCTTCTGCTCCAAGATGACTGTGTACAATTCATAAGAAAATGCTTACACAAAGAAGCATGCGCCAGTAAGAATGTCATCCATGAGCAATTAAAATGACATTTTTAGCAGCTAGTCTAATAAGAGGTAGAGGGAACCATTATACTAGTACAATGTAGGAGACATATTTAGAAAGCTAAACTTTTCAAAAAAATTCCTCAAAAACAGTTGAAGAATAAAAGTTGATCACAAACTTTTGTTTCAGGGAAATACTTACTGCATAAGACAACCAGGAGCACTTATGTAAACAGCTTGTTTTTAACCATTCAGGCACAGAAAAGTCAAGGCTTTAAAAGATGTGACTTATCTTGCTGCCTCATGTGAAAAGAATACAAGGTGGGTGTCCAATAGTTAGTTCAAAAGCTTGAAAGATAGCTATCACAAAATCTGCTCTAGCTGGACTGGTCATCTATGCTGTATCTAAATGTAAACTGTTCTATCTCTTTCACTACCAGGCAGCTTTTTTTAAAACCCCAACGAGTTGTGAAGCATAGAAGGAAGGAAGGAAGGAAGGAAGGAAGGAAGGAAGGAAGGAGACACAAATGAAGTGGGAGACACTAACATGGAGTGTCTACCATCGCCAGTAATTAGTAGATAATCAGTGTTCATCCCAACATGGGAATGTGAACTCACCTGAAAGTGGGGGAGGGTAGGCAAAGATTGCAGATGTTGATGCATTGTATGCTGGGACTCCCACAGGTACTGTAGTTCCACAAACACTGTTTGGCATGTAGGTGTAGCCAAATGCACCAGCTGGGATTTCACCCCTAGAGGCTGAAGGAGAATAATAAGAGATGGAGTACTTAGTAAACAAGGTCTCAATTAGATTTAAGGTTGATTCTAAACCTAATGTTGGGTGACTGAACAAACATGCCATGTCAGAGAACCTGTCCAGGCCCTACAGCTACCCTCGCCAACTGAAGATAATAAAATGTCACAGCTCCCATTAATATGATCACTCATTTTCTGAGTAAGAGCAACAGATCTGTGCCCACCAATACGCAGTATTATACACAGTGAGACACTTGTCTACATTACTAAACAGTACTATACAGTGACAGCCCTGTACCTGCATCGAACAAGGAAAAAACTTCATATTTCATTTTGATTAGGCAACAATAGGAATGACCAAATGGCCACATCATTGTTGCCAGACATGCAGTCGGTCTCAGACCAATAGCTCAATAGGCTAAATCGGATCATATTACCCAAAAGGTTCTTGCCCTCATCTCACAACGCGTGAATGGTTATGAGGTATTAGAATAGCCCAAGAGTTCCAGTTCATCAGTAACCATAAACCAAAAGCGATAAAGTCAGTTTCTCTGGACAAATCATTGACTTTGAAGCCCAGGTGCCATTAACCAAGCAATTCCACAGGATAATGCAACCTTGCTCATCTCAAGAGCATTTATACAGCAATGCTCAAAACCCCAGGAATACCTCAATATACTTCACAGTCAATGAACTGTAAGTCAGTAATAAAGTGGGAAACACTGTAGCTAATCTACAATAAAGCCCACTGCAAAATAAATAATTTGACGATCCTTTTAGTGATGCTGGTTGAGTGATAAAGATTGCTAAGGAGAACAAAAATATTACACCCTGTTCTGCTTAAAAATAGTGCCATAGCATCCCCTTACCACCATCTAGGCAGCAGACAAGGCCTCTGTTTAACGTCTCATCTGAAAGATGGCATCTCTGCCACTGTGAAGCGTCAACCTGCATTATCCCAACTGCCTGTCCCACTCCTTTGTCTCAGACATCCGGACTGACTACTCTCACAACTGGGACCAGAATCTCAGTCAGTTGCTTGGAAGAAAAACAAAAGAGCAAAAGTATAAAAGGAAAGCAAGTGGGACCAGGACTGTGGAGTCAGGAAAGACTGAGCTGAAACTCACCTTGTGATGCTGTACGTAACATCTGCTGTCCAAATTCAATGGCACCTCCACTGGTGAAGGACAGCTTAAATGCTGCAGAACCTTCCCATCCTCCTGTGGAACAGAATGAGGACTAGAATGCAGTGGAAAAACAGATCTTCTTCAAAGCTTCTCCAACTCAGAGACCAACGCACAAACATTTACTTTAATCAAATGGAAATAAATTTAGCAAGCAAAACTGACATTATTTCAAGGATCATTTGACCATACCCCTCAACCCAATCCTGTCCCACAGCCACCCATTCCCTCCCCCAAATCTTTCATCCACAGTCAACCCACACCCTTAATTCCTTCTCTCCTGTCCAAATGACTGGACTCCATCAGCACCATCCGGCCAGAAGCACTGCTGGCTAACTTACCAGAGTTTATCTAAAATAAATGTTTCAAACACTCCTATTGTCCTGTCTGGACTAATATTGTGGAGTAGTTATTCTGTATTTTAGAAAACACAGATTTCCTTCCATTGCTTCATACTATTCTCCAAGGATTTGCAAGCTAATTAACAGTCTTCAACCAGGTTTATTTCCTGCCACATTAGAGTCATCCTACGTCCATGGTACTGATCCCTCTTCGTCTTTTGACCTCTGCAGCCTGCACCAGCCTCCTTCACATTTCTCCTTCCTAATGCAGCCAAGTAAAACTGCCAAAAACTGTTGTGTTTTTAATTTATCTAGCCATCAAGGCACTCTCTGCAATGGCTTCTCATTCCTGTATATTACCTTTAATGTAATCAATTACCTAGCTTTCTCTTCTTTGCCTACATACTGTACCTTGGAAACATCCATAGACAGATGCTCAAATTCCACATGAATATTATGACATTTGGTACAGTTCAGAACTGAGAAAAAAATCTCTCTCCAGCAAAACTAACTTTTCATCTTGTACCCATCAGGACAATGAGCAAAGCCCTGTGTTAATATGTAGCTTCCAATTCAGACAATTGTGCCACATTGTGAGCCTGACTGACAATCCTAAACTGCTTTTCAGCACAATTATCTGCACACTCAGGATTATTTAGCAAATGTTAACTAATCATAAAATTACATCTAATGTTAGACTCCATGCATGTTTGGCCAGCATCCTGATAGTGGCTAACACCATTCGTTGCTACTGCATAGCAGCAGACAGCTAATTTCACCTGCTATTCAACTTGTGATACTTTACTCTTCCAGGGTAATCGGAGGTGAACTGGGAACATTTTGGGACCAAAGTGATGGCCTTGGGCATGTCACAAGTTCGCACAATATACAGTAAGAAATCAGATCAGAAAACAGATCAACTGCACACTTGACTGTAATGGAAGCTACATATATTAATACTTGCGGCTTATTCTTTACAGACAGAAAGAACTTTGACTCACCGCATCTGCTTCAACTTAAAATAAGTGACAACAATTCACCAGTTCCTTTCTCAGGGCAATGCTTGAGAAATTAGGTTCAACCTGTTTGGTTTAAACTTTAAGCAAAGCTTGGTAGTTAACTGCCAAGTCTATCATCTAATTGGTGCATTTTCCAAGCTAACACCTCTACCAATTAGAGTCCACTTACCAACCAATCAGCAGTTTCTCCTCATGTAGTATAAATGGTTTCCCTTTAGGGTGGTATTCTTGTGAATTGTCCTGATAAGTGCAAGATGAAGAAGCTTCAACAAAATGTCTTTTCTCTGTAATAGTTAATGTTAAAATGATATCCATCTCTCCCTCTCCACCAATTCTGCTGAACCCTCTATTGCCTTTACGTTGTCAGCCTGTTTTCTACTATCTAGTTTTGAAGGAAATACAATTATGTCCAGTGAGTGGACGGCATTCTAAACCAGTGCAAGAATCAGTGAGAAGCAGTATTAATTTAGTGAAAACTCCCACCCTGTACACTTACTCAATGCAAGATATAGGGGAAGTAGAGTATGTTAATCCACTGCTGGTTCCAGTAACAGTACAGCATGTTAACCCTGTTCCAACTCTAGCAAGACCACTGTGCTAATGTACAGAATATCCGGTGAGATGGCAGTACAATAACTATCCCCAATCTCGTCACTCATTCCTGCCTCTAACTGAAGCAGATAGAAGGAGTTGGAGTATTTCAGAAGTTTCTCATAATATTTACACAGGACCACAGCTAGAATATTCTTTCTCCCACATACCATTTGGCTCAGCTTTGATGGTTCCTTTGATGTAATTTGCCCCAAGCACTGGCTGTTTGATCTCACAGCCCTTCATCAGATAAAATGGCATTGTGAAGGATTTCAGTGCCTCTCGGTTATCTTTTGCCACAAATACAACCTGGAAAGCACAGAAACAGGAAAGCAGTGCAGCACAGGTATGAAAAACAAAAATTCATCCAGGTGAATCTGTACAGCTCTGGCATTGTTACTACATGATGATATGTTCACCCTGACTGGTGATCGCAAAAGCAATGGAGTAGCAACTGGTGAACACAGGCTCTATCATGTAACATGGATACAGTACTAGTGGGTAGAGATATGTCACTGAATATAGCACTTTGTTCTGATACGTGGCCAGTTTCAAATCAGAGACTTTGATGCCATTAAATCTAGGCTACCTCTAAATCCTGTTGCAAAGAGTACATTTTGTATTTCAAGTTGTACACTGATAGATGGTGAGATAACAAGGTGTAGAGCTGGATGAACACAGCAGGCCAAGCAGCGTCATAGGAGCAGGAAGGCTGACGTTTCGGGCCTAGAACCTTCATCAGATCAAAGGATCATTCAGGCATTTCTGACGAAGGTCTAGGCCCAAAACGTCAGCCTTCCTGCTCCTCTGATGCTGCTTGGCCTGCTGTGTTCATCCAGCTCTACACCTTGTTATCTCAGATTCTCCAGCATCTGCAGTTCCTACTATCACTGATAGATGGTGACTGTCAGTGATGTACCTGATTAAAACACTGGCTTTTTGTCATGTAGGAATAAGCACAAGCACTAGCACTGATCATCATCTCACACATTTAGAGTGTGTAATGTAACTTACTTGGTATGGCAGCAGGTAAACAGCTCCCTTCTTTGAATCTTTGAATGCCTCCAACGTGTTGTCTACATCAGTGAATGACAGCTCCACATGGTCATAAAACATCAGCACACTGCAAGAACAGAAAACAAGTGATGTGTCATCACATTCAAACAGAATCACCTCTTACACTACTGTAAACAGAATACCGCTGATCACCCAGGATGGGATTGTCATTAGTGAAGCTGTCTTCTAAACCTCATATGCCCTTCTCCACTCTCTTTAAGACAGAGTTTGGGCAATATAATATGTCAGTGGGCTATTCAATAAAGATGT